AGAAGAAAAAGAAAAAGAAGAAAGGAAGAAGATGATCGAAAGAGGGGAAGAAGATGGATCAAAAAGGGGAGAGGGTAAATTTGTAATTTTCTATTTTTTATTAAGACAAAATTAGTTGATGTGTTGGCAATGAGTTGGCTTAAAAAAATATTCCACATCAACGTTTTTTAAATTTATTTTTGCCACGTCATAAAAAAAATTATAAAAAATGCCACCTAAGCGAGTTAACGGACCAAATTAACAGAAGGACTAACGGAGTGCATTTTGTATAGTTGAGGGATCAAAAAAGTGCAAAAAATTCTCAAGGGACCAAAAATGTGCAAACCACTAAAGTTGAGGGACCAAATTTAGCATTTAACCTTTTTTTTTTTGTTTGGATAATTGGGTTTTAAATTGAAATGGGTTGGTGTTGGGTTGGGTTTGGGTAATTGTGGGTTTTGGGTTTTGGGTAATTGGGTTTGAGTTTGGTGGGTTTTGGATTGAGTTTGATGGGTTTTGGGCTAGACTTTGCATTTCACCTCTCCAACTTTTCATTTCTTCAACTGGGTCCCTCATCCTTCAACTTCTTTCCAATCGTTCACAAAAATCCCCATTTTACTCATGAACCTAACAAGAAAAACAAAGATAAAAACATATTAGTTAAAATAAAATCCTACTACAATTTGAGTTATGACACTCTTGCATGCTGCAGAAGTCCATATAGGTGCTGGGGGGGACAAGATGTTACAGTACCTTCATGGATGGTAGAAATGCTTAACATGAAAACTCTTTATAATATGAGTGCTGCTAATTGGGAAATGACATTGTCATTGAGTCAAAAGTTGTTGAGTCCAGAGGACCAAGAAAAGGTGCCAAAGGATTTCTATAGTGCAAAAAAAATGATAAATGTGCTTGGACTTGGATACAAGAAAATTAATATTTGTGTCAATGATTGCTTCTTGTACTATGAAGAGCAAAGTAGGAATTTAACTGCTTGTCCAGTGTGTGGAGAATCTCGTTATGAGCCAAGGAATATGTCTGCTATAAGGCAGAAAGATGTTCCAAGGAAATCTTTGTGGTACCTTCCAATTACCCCAAGATTGTAGCGACTATACATGTCTAGAAAAACAGCAGAGCACATGACATGGCATTTGAAATGCCGTAAGGATGCGGATGAAGTTATTCATCCTACGGGTAGTGAGGCAAGGAAACACTTTGATGAAACCCACCCAACATTTGATGATGAACCTAGAAATGTTAGACTTGGCCTCTGTACAGATGGTTTCAATCCATTTGGTTGCTTTGCAACGCCTTACTCTTGTTGGCCTGTTTTTCTTACAGTGTACAACCTTCCTCCTGAATTGTGTATGAAGTCAAAGCATATATTTCTTGCCATGATAATTGCTGGACCTAAAAGTCTAGGAAAAAACATTGATGTCATGCTTAGGCCATTAATTGATGAACTTAAGGAATTGTGGACAAATGGGGTTGAAACTGATGATAGTTTCAAACAACAGAATTTTATCATGAAAGCTGCATTGCTATGGACTATAAGTGATTTTCTAGGTTATGGCATGTTATCTGGATGGAGCACACATGGGAAGTTGTCATGCCCTTATTGCATGGAGAA